GCTATATAATGATAGGGGAAACACTGGCAAGTGTAAATTATCCAAATTAGAGAGATCCAAATTAGAGGTATTTGGACTAGTATTCATTATTGGGATTTGGCTTCATGTTATGCTCACACTGATCAACTGTTATGTCATATCAAAGTGCCAAGAGAAAAAAGCTACAGTAGTAACCTCTCTAACGCTGAGCACAGATTAGATATATCTTCTGTGTTTTCTGGCATAGTTAAAGCATTATTTGCATGAATGAGTCAAAGTAAGACTCTTGAAATTATTTTGATGAGGGAATGACATTCTAACATTATACAAAATTCAAAAAAGTCTTTTGCATAGTACCCTTCATTAGGGATGCACAATATGTCGGCATTAACAGTGGTTTTGGCCAATATTGGTCACTTTTTAGAATAACGGTATCGGCCCGATATGTAAAACTGGGCCAATATTAATGTCCGATATTGATTTCCCACTTTTTAGGTTTTTTTTTTTTTTTTTTTTTCTGTTTTAGGAGGTGAAACGTTTGGTCGAGTGGTATCTGTTTGATCATAAAAGTCATGTTGATGCTGCGCAACCAGGAATAACTGAAGTAGAGCCATATCAGAGGTCTGGTAGTTTATTTACGGTATCAAAAAAAAGACACGTGTGTTTGTGCGTATATGTATATAAATAATTTGTGTGTTTGTGTAATCTGTAAATATTGGTTATCGGTCATAGCAGCAATAGTTATATCGGATATCGCTATTGGCTGAAATTTTATTTATGAATTTCCCATTAATAATTACTGTGTGTAATTACTGTATGAAAGGTTAGTAGATAATAAGTTCCTATTTTATTTTATTTTATCTAAAATGTTTTAGGTTATGGGGGGTATTATGCAAAGTCGACTTTTTTATAGCTTTAGTCATTTACACATCAAAAACATACCTAGAGTGTTGGTTTGACTCATTAATGCTGCGTTCATAGCGTCAGGGGCATCAGGTTTACTTGCAAAGTTTATGGTGGACAGACATGTGTCAAGGAGTGTCAGGAAGTGCTGCGGCGCATTTTGAAGCGTTTTACACATTCCACGTGCTTGAAGTGCGTTACACGCATAGAAAATCTGAACTTTTGCAGCTCAAGTCGACAGAGCGTCAACTAATCAGAGAGACTCACCTATGTGACAAAATGGTACATTTTCCAACGGGACAATCTCCTGAATGATGTCCACTAACCTGAGACAGATGGACAAGAGCTCTTTAGCTGAAATCGAGTGCCTGTAGTCGGTGTCCTAGGAGAGGATGTGGGTACCAATGCGGGTCAGCGGCTCGTCAAACTGAGCTCGGGACAAAAATAAAGCTGAAAGCGAGCCTTGTCAGCTCGCAGCTCCTGGATGGTGAAACTTACCAAACGCAGAACTCCTCCGAATTATCTGTTGAATTAATTATGATTTAATTATCTGATGAGCGTGATGTGCTCTTGCTCTCAATAAATATAGCTAAGCCACTTTCTTTATTTCATCCACCATTAAACAGAGACTAGCAGAGGAGGCTCTCGACGCGTTGGTTCTGTGTTTTAACATGTAAGTACAGGAGCAAACTCTTAGAGATTGTCATGTTGTGCAGCAGAATTGCTGGTACAGGCCTACAGAAACTCACTGACCTACACAAGGTCAGGTCAGTGAAAAAGGCCAGACTGATTCTGGCAGACCCTGATCACCCACTTGGTGAGTTCAGGCTTCTTCCATCTGGACGCAGGTATCAGTTGACCAAATGTAGAACTAAAAGATTTAAAAACTAATGTATCCCAGCAGCACGAGCAGTCCAATTTCTCAACAAACATTTGTGATCTTCTTTGTGTGTGTTAATTGTTTTTGTTTTTATGTCTACTGGCTGTGCAACAAATTGCCCCTTATGTATCCCCTATTGGGGATAATAATCTTTTACTTGAACTATAATGCAATGATTGTTCCACATTTAATCTATTGTGTTGAAGTTTGTTGAAAAGCATGCAAGACATTTACAAATCCTATCTTTATTTTTACAATAAAAGAGCTATAAGAATTGGTAGTAGAAATTGCTATGGTCACCAAACAGGTATATTTGTTTCATTGGTTGAAATTGTTGAAGTTTCATGATTTGGTTGATTATGGCATTTTGAATGTCATGGATAGAGTTCATAAAAATGTTTTGCCTTCAAATAGTCTATAAAAATTTGTCAAAGGAGAGAATCACTATGACCTTAACAGAATAGAGAGTTTTGTGAAACCTCCATTTTGAACTAGTCTGAAACTGCTGCCGTCCTCCATCTTGAAAATCTTTCCAGGACTTGCAATGCTTTCCCCGAACAGCCAAGCCCATCCATGCTCTGATTGTATTGTTAAATTTTGTAATTGACAGGACATTAACTAAACAGCTGAGAGGATGAAAAATCCTATCAACGTTTGTACTTGCAAGTTTTTTTCTCAAACGTTTTTGTACACACAAGTTAGAAAACTTGAGCGCACATCATTTGTATCTTTAAACAGCATAATAAAAAAATAAAATGTTGTAACCTTGTGTAATTAAAAATATATATACTAACCTTTTTTACATGCACACATTCCTATCTACAAATGCAGAAAGAAGAAATTAAATTGTTGTGTTGACCACTAGACATATCAACGCCGATCACAGAATTTTATTTGTCCATCACTGAAGAGTCACAATTTTCAAATCAAAAGCAGCGAGGTTTTGAATCATGCGGTCATATGAATGTGACAACATGGTTTCTTTCCTTATAGCAGCAAATTTTCACAAGTTACTCCAATATTTATTAAAACAAGTAAATAGAAATCTTAAGCTGTATTTTCTCCTCTGGGAGCCGAGCTTCTTCACACATAAGTGTTGAGGTACAAAGCTGCTCTTCTCTGCTAGTTTTGCATATTTAGTTGTAGACTGTGAGAGTGAATGAAGTAAATTTTAAAATATAAATTAAAACGTAAACTAAAAATAAATTCATATCAATTTTATTGTGTGTATTCAGTGTGATGGCCTAAAAATTAGCCTTGAAATAATTTCTAAATATAAATAATTTTAAATTTAATTTTCTCATCAGGGTCACTCTTGTTCTTGAATCGGGAAATGAAACTGTTTTTGCATTTTGTCTTTAGGGTTATGGAATGCCTCAGCAGTATGGTGCAGAATATAACCAGCAGGCCTACAACATGGGCCAGCAGTACCCATCGCAGCCCAATACCGTCATGGTCCAGCCCACTGTGTACGTCGCCCGAGGCCCTCTGGTAAACCCAGTCAATGACTACTTGGGCTACTCCATCTTCACCATGCTCTGCTGCTGCATGCCACTTGGCATCGCTGCCCTCATCTACTCCATTTCAGTAAGTTCTTTTACCATATTTTATTTTCTTCTTTAACTCTTGTGGATCAAGTCTGCCAACACTCATGCATCAGAGGGTCTTTACAGGCTCTCACGCCACACTCCCAATTTCTCACGCTGAGAACTGACAAACACCAAAAAATCAACTCAGTTCCACTTACGTATAAGAAAAATATATAAACCATCTGACACTGATCCAGGGGTTGACATAAGTGTTATTTAGGTTGTCCGAGACAATGTTTTTTTGTTTTGGACAACCGAAAAAAAAGTCCACTCCTCCGCAATGATTGACCGTCATTTGAGAAATAAACTTATTAAAGACATCCAGACTCTAAACCAACCAATGGAGAGTTCCACAGTCAAGGTTTTACCGCATAAGAGCAGAGCAGGGCGGGTCGTGCTGTCTGACTGACAGCAGGTGCGAGGAGTCAGAGTTCAGGTGCTCTCTCCCGGGAAAGCTGTCAGTGTTTACCAGACTATTTCCACCATAACACCATTGTTCACAAAACCGTGAGAGATCGTAGTTGACCGTAGTTTTTGAAGTAGAGTCTGACGTAAAGGATTATGTCAAAGACTGCCTGGTCTGTTGCCAGTTTGAGCTGTCAAAGCCTGCTCACAGAGCTCTTCTGCAAGGTAGAGCATTCAACAAAATTGAAACTAATTATTATGGCATCTGAAAATCTAAATGCCTTTTAGACACCAGAAATGTTGTAAAGACATCCTTGGGTCAGTATGCCACACAGCCTTTAGAAAATAGCTGTCAGGAGGTGTGATGATGGCAGCTTACTTAGCCACTCCCAACAGCAGCAGATGTTGAAATCTAGTTTAATCTTTCCACATTTAGCATCAAACATTCAGGATTCATTTATTGTCTTATGCAGGTTAACAAAAGCTAATGCAATGAAATTCTTAGGATGAGAAGAAACCTTTCGACTCGCTATAAGAATAAAAATAAAGATACAATACAGACAGTACAGAATACAAAATTCACAGTTTGCAGTAGCTGCACAAAGAGTAAATAAACAAAAAATTTAGGGTAACATATACAGTGTAAAATCAAAATGTCGAACAGCAAACTACTAAATAGCAAACATTCCCACTGATGTCTGAAGTTTATGAAACCCCTAGCTCCGCAGAGATACTGTTGAAACTTGTTTGTGTTGGCTTACCTCTGATTCTACAGTAACTCAGAGTGCAACCTTCTTCTTTAGTCATAATGTTGTTTTTATTTTTTTAAAAAGCCAAGGGTTTTAGTTAATTTCACACTTGACAGGTTATTTCTGTCCCCATGCAGAATAATGACTTGTTTCATATCAGCTACAGACCTCCTTTAGCTTCTGCTGCTGAGAAAAATAATGAAAAATATTCATATTTTCTTACAAAACTCCTAAAACGGTCCGAACAAAATTACTGGCACGTCAGCTTAAGATTTGGTTGCAGGCCCTTTGAAAAACAGAACTGAAACTAATCACTTCCAATAACCATCAACTGGAATTTTGGACCACTCTCCTTTTGCAAACTGCTCCAGGTCTCATATTTGAAAGYTTCCTTCTCCCAAGTAGAATTCTAAAGATTTCTCCACAAGTGTTCAGTGGGATTTAGATCCAGACTGATGGCCATGTCAGAACTCTCCAGCACTTTTCCATCTATTTCTGGGTGCTCTTTGAGTATGTTGGAGGTCATTGCCTTGCTGGAAGAACAATGACCTAGGACACAAACCCAGCTTTCTGACACTTGGACCTTCATTGTGAACCAAAACCCTTTGGTATTCTTCAGATTTCATGATTCCATGCACACAGTCATGGCATCCAGTGCCAGAGGTAGCAAAACAACTGCAAAACATTTCTGAACCTCCACCATATTTGAGTGTAGGTACTGTGTTCTTTCTTTGTAGGCCTTACTCCTTTCTCACTGGTGACCCTAGCCCAGCTTGAATTAGTTTGGAACTTGATACCGGCTGCATATTCTCTATCCACACTATCTGTGTTGCAACCTTTTGTTAATGTTCTTTTCTGTCCGCATCCATGGAGATTAGCTAAAGTGTCACGTAGGGTTGGGCATAAATGTATCGTGTGCAATTAATCGTCAGAAAGACATTAATCAATTATTTTTTGGCACTTGACAATTAATACGATTAAAGTGCCTATGACGTTAAATTTTTCGTAATACATATGAATGCATTTTTCGGAAGAGGATATTGATAAAATATTGCAAAAGTAATTTCATGTTGCTGAGATGAACCGTTGTTGAGATATTTGCCTGTTAAGTAACAGGAAGTGATGTTAAAGGGGTAAGTCTGCATGTGAACAGAGTGTTGCTACAACAGCCAACAACCCAGACTGTAGAGAAGAATCTGATGTTTCTTAAGATTGTTTTTGAGTCACTATCAGAGAGAGTCAAAGTTCAAATAATATTGTTTTAATAAACAAAGACCAGAGAATTGTCTTTGTTAAAGAGTTCCCCTTTGATGTCACTTCCTGTTTCACTTTGGCTGAGCCAAGTTCAAAAGAAAATATGCCAGTTATGGGACAAAATGGATTAAATTGCGTGTATTGTTCCAACTTTCTTAAATTTGAAGATGTTTCCTTTGAATTTTTGTATTTGAAGAATATGCATGTCACAGACACTTTAATGCCACCAGTCAGTCCGCTCGGTGCTCCTCTCCGCTTCATACATGATGAACATTAAAGAAAATAAAGTTCTGTAATTTATTTATCTATCAGCACAATTTAAAATTTGTTGTATAACCTGAAGTTTGTAATTTTGACACAATTTGGACCAGATTTTTACAAAGAGCAAATCTTTCCCACTAAATTGGTCATGTGACTAGGACATAAGAGTGTCCAGGGACTCCAGGGCATTAATCATCAAACTAATCGTTATTGGCTAAATACCACAATTAATCTTGATAAATTCTTTTTTGCCAATATTGCCCAACCCTACTGCCTTGGCTTGTAAACCTCTTGATTATGTTGCGCACAGGGGTCAAAGAAACCTCAAGATCTTAGGAAATGGACTGGTGACCTTCAGGTTGTGGATATTTTCCCACAGTTTTGGTTGACCACCCCTCAGACAGTTCTCTTCTTTTTCTGTTCTCCATGCTTAGTGTGGCACACATGATTCAAAGATTGAGTCAACTTCTCAATCATTTATCTGCTTCAGGTGTGATTTTTACATTGCCCACACCTGAGCATCACACACCTAAACTAAGTTATTTACGTAAAATACAATTATCTGGCCCTTTTATTAGTTTTGTGTAAAATTTTATAAATTTTGTCTTTATTCTATTGTTTTTTTTTTGTTCCAATACACACAGAAGAAATAAGCATGTGTATAACAAAACGTGTAATTGCAATAATTTTCTGGGAAAAATACTTCACTTTTGGAAAAATGTCATGGATGCTGACCCTGTCAGACATGACTGTAAAGGTCATGTAAGACACATGGCCACATTGACGGTCAGCCAAGTGTTTCGCCATCACAGCTTTCCCAGAAATGTGAAACCAAACCAGTTTGCCCTTTTGCCTTATTCATAGTGGACTAAGAGTCCTAAAAACCCATGTAGAGTCATTGTTTGGTATTTGTCCATAAAGCACCTAACATGGAACAGGAAGGACTTTTAGTGGGGAAACGTTCTGGCTTGCAATTTCCTACAAGTGTGTGCTAAGCTACATCTGTGTCACAGTTCACAATAGAGTCCAATGAGAAAGAAGCCAGAACAACAGGAAGAAGAGAAAGAACCGTTTTTGTAAAAACAGCAGAAGTGGTGACGTGTAAGGGCTGCTGGCTTATGTAATTACTATAACTTAACATTCACTTGTTTAGAACAGAAAAGGGATTAAAAGGGCTTTGATAATGGAAAAAGAATAAATTAAAGCAGTGTGTGTGGCAGTTGTGTTTCAGATGAACATGCAACTTCAGACTTCTGTAAAAGAGGCGTTTGTCCTCCATCTTTCTGATGGATGACAGTGGTAGCACAACTTCCACTGGAATGTCTAGACAAAACATGTTTTGTTGAGATCTGAATTTCATGCCAAGTTCAGGTTCCAGACCCCTCTTTGCCTCTGTGATGGAGTCATCAAATGCTCCTTTGTTTCCTAGAAATGTAGCCTCACAGCTAAGCTTTTATTGTTAGTAGCTAAACATTAAACAGTAACCAAGAGGAATTATTGAATGTAAGACTGTAGGCACAGTTTGAACACATGTTCATCATTTAATTACTAGTTTCATTCATTCGGAAAGCATACACAAAATAAGGATTTTAATTAAGCTTTCATGACAGCAGTTACTAGCCAGTATTTTCAATTTAGTGTTTTTCTTTTTCTAGACATAACGCCTGTGTTTCAGTTCACAGTATGTTTTAAAACTACTGAGCCGCTGATCAAACATTTACTCAACATGAACTCTGCTTTATTGTGTTTATTCCAAATGTAAAATGTAGACTCAAAAGGCAGTCTGGATTTTTATTTCTAGAGAAACACCTCTATGACAAATCACATCAACCAGATAACTGGTAAATGTCATCACTGTGGCAACGTGTTTTTCAGTAAAATTTAATAGATTCATTTAATGTGATGACAGCGAATCGCTGAATAAACACAAAGTTTCAACCACAGGTAATGTAAATATTTGTGCAGCTTAGTTTCCCCTCTGTGCACAGTGACAAAGAAAGCCTGCCAGATCTGTAAAACACAAACTTCGAAAGACCCTGTCCAATTCACCCTAAAATTCAAATTTTATGGTGCCTTTTAAATTTCTCATAAGCTGCTTATTATTTACAGTCAGTGTCGGTCACTCATCATTTAGGAAAAAGATACACAGATTTGACTTTTGAATGAACTAATGACACTTTATTGATCCCAAAGGGAAATTACAGTTTGGAACAACCCATTCAAGATATAGGAAGACAGAAAATAAACAAACATAGAACAATGTTCACACAGCAGGCAAATGCGACCCAAATCCGATTTTTTTTTTCCCCATGTGACCCAAATCTGATTT